CCCCCCCCCCCCCCTTCGGTCCGGGCATTTTTGTGTCTGGTGTACAGGTCCAGACGGTCCGGGTCCAGTCCTGTCCGGTTGTTCGGTCCCTGGGCCAGTCCAGACAAACGTCTGGGCCTCGGTCCAGACATGTCCGGGTCCGGGTCTGCGGTTGCCATGCTTAAAACTTAAAAGTAAAAAACTATAGAAACATTTTAAAAAGCAACATATTATTAAGAATTGAAAAAACGGGTACGTATAGTCAATTATTTTGCAGATAGCCCACGTCTGGACCGCAGAAAAAGAAAACAAAACGGGCATGAACACCCCCCCAAACAATTTTGGGGGCTTGGCTCCTGTGGGGAGGGGTCCTGGACCTTTTTTTTCCCCCCTTGAAATTTGGCAGATCCGGACCTTCTGGACCGGACCGGACATCTGGACTCCGGACTGAATACGGAACACCTGGACGGCAGTCTGGACGTCCGGATTGTAGCCACAGAATGCATTCCCCTCTGCCCCCTCCTTCCCCCTCGCCCCCCCTTCCCCCGACTCGCCCAACAATTTCCTGAAAGAATTATCATGTGTTAAAGTTCTCAGGACTCAGGAGAGCTTTACAAAAATCCAAAGCCGATCCGCAAAACGAAAGTATTGATCCTCCTTCGGGACAGCTGCGAAATTCGAACAATACAATACAAGGAGGATTAGCATGGCCTTCGTAACGATGACACACATAACTCGAGAAAGAAGAAAAGGAAAAAAAGGAAAGTTGTCATCACTAAAGCAAAGCTGATGAAGCATGCAATACACTAGTCTGTCATCACGGTTTTCTTTTTTTTAACTGGACCATTTCTCGATTTGCGTGTGTCATCCTTGGACAGGGGCCATGCGAATCTTCATTCTCGGTACCGTTTGTAGGTCTTCTTTCTTTTAACTGATGGCCCGAAGGGCTATCATGACGGATTCTAAATTTGTTTGTACTACTTTGTAGGTCTTCTTGCAGGCAAGAGAAAGCAGAAACGAAAAAGCAAACAACACAACAGAAATGCCAAAAGGGTTTTAAGTTTTAACTTTAAAGAGGGGTGTGCCTTGATGGGGTTTAAACTTTAAACATTAAAAATCACAGGTGGGATTAAAAAATTCATTAAATACTAAAAAATAGGGCTTAGTGGGGGCTTCAAGCGGTTTAAAAAGGTCACCAGTCCGATCCTCAAAAGTGCCTCCTTGTGCAGGAGCACTTTGACTCTTTGCACGCCCAGGCCCCTGAGCATTCGTGCTACTGTCTTCCCCCAAATAGAACATGTGGTCATTATTGCTGTACCTAGACTGAAAGTTGGCCTGAATACAACTTTCAGGGGGTGATAGTATCAGGAATTCTCACGGACCTGCCATGGAAGACCCCACCATCGTCGTTTTCTCTGTAAGAGAGAGGATGCAAATAATTTCACAAGCTTCTCAATAGAGTGCCTGTGTCAGAATATCGTGCCCCTGTACGTGTAGACAGCCAGGTGTCTGATAAAGTAGGGAACACACACATGGAGGTGGTCGGGGTACCTTCGGGCAGAGGCATTCGCCCGATGCGCCAGAGTATATGCGCATACCTAGCCTATACATGCAATTAGTCCCAAACCGTACATGTGATTCAAACAGATGCAGAGCAATGCAAATGCATAGAAGGCTTTATACTTAGTGTACAATCCGTTGTTTCTACCTTACAAGCCAAGCACATTATGGGTCCCGCTCACTACTCTCGACTCACGAAATGTTTCGTGAGTCCTTCTAGAGCTGTCAGACGTGCAAAACTCTCCAAAAAGAAGTATTGGCTCCACTTACTCTAGATGGGTTTGCTCGAGATGCAGTGGCGGAATGAGACGAGCTCTCTGGCTGCACTAAAAGACAGCGCCGCCCTGTTCTGATTCATCGGGACACGAGGCGCACTCTCGAAAAAAATGGTCGGAGCGGGGGTACAAGGTAGGACACTGGAAAAGCATGTTGTCGCAGGCTGGGCACTCTAGACACTTCGAGAGTGCCCTTCGAGAGTGCTTTCTGACAGCTCTCGAAGGGCGTTTTCGAGAGCACCTATCTAGAGTGAGTGGAGCGAGGCCTTACTCTCGAAATTTCGAGAGTATAGAGTAGTGGAGCGAGGCCCATAGTCTCCGCCCTGCAACAATGTAAAGGCTAGGAACGGTAGGTCCGTTCGCATAAGGGACCGTCAATGACGTATTATCCCTCCCCTTGTACACCACAAGGGCATGTTGTTTGATGGTCTACCAAACAAGTGTCCAAGATGCTCTTGTGGTCTCTATAGCATGAACCTGGTTATTATAACAGCCAGGCTCATGCTTACTCAAGCACACACATGCCTAAGCTTGTGACTAGACCTTTGGCCACATGACTACCGTCTTCCCCCGAACATAACGCACCCAAAAATGAATGTATACAAGCTATATTTCCGGCCAGATACAGCCAAAATGAGGGTGCGTTGTGTTCGGCGGAAGACGGTAGTAGACGTCTGGTTTTCTTACCAGATCAGCAGCTCCAAGAGCGTCCCATGCCAGACTATGTTGCCAGACATCAGCCATACAAACACAATACCATGAGTAAGAGCCAGCCCCTACTGGTACAATGTGTCCTTGCTAGGAAAGCATGAACCTGGGTACTATAATAACCAGGTTCATGCTTTCGACGCATGATCGTAGAACCTGTGGGACCTGCCCCTAACTCTGTTTTCAGGTCACAATCCATGGGTGTATGATCAGCGTTGAAGGAAGACCTTCCCTCCCCTTCCTGCTGCCGGTCAGTCGTACCAGACCTGGTGTGAACTTGGATGGAAGCTTTTCAGTTTACCATTGGACGTGGTGTTTTGTTAATCATTGCTGCTTCCTGACATTTGGGCTTTGACTTGGGTGATTGGTCGGGGTATCACTCTATGTTTGTGAACATTTTGCCTTGCTTGTGTGCAGTGGTGACGTGCCCGGTTTGTCAGCAACAACTGCCAGAGGCTGTGTCAAATGAGGACCTGAATGCACATATCGACGACTGTCTCAGAAATCAGCCGTGATTGAAGGTAGTTTTATTAAGTTTTGTCTCTGCAACTTCTCGGAGGATCATTCATGTTGGATATGTTCCAGAATTCCTGATGATGTAATTTTAGTTCCATTCATTTGCTCGAGCAGGTGTATCAGTTGCATTTCAACTTTTCATTCTACAAAATCTACACGTGTATTTATGCCATGTTTGACATGGCTGTGTATATATGCAGCTCTGGGGTGTGTGTGTGTGTGTGTGTGTGTGTGTGTGCGTGCGGGTATGTTTTTTATTTTGTGTAATATAGAGGACAGGTTTGACCTGTGCGTGGGAAG